TGACATACTTTGGACATGTTGCCAGGAGGGACGGGTCCTTGGAGAGGGACATCATGCTTGGGAGGGTGGAGGGACAGCACAGGAGGGGAAGACCCTCTTTGAGATGGATTGATTCGGTGACTGTGGTAATCGGGATGGGTGTGTCAGAGGCGGTGTGGTTGGCGCAGGATAGAGCAGGGTTTAGGGCTCTTGTGCATAGGGTCGCTATGAGTCAGAAACGACTCGACGGCACATAACAACATTATTAATTTTAATGAATTTTTACAGAGATTTTGGATTTCCATTCATTCATTGTTGCACTTTTCTCCCTGCCCAACCCTCCCCTCCAGTTTGCTCTTCTCTTTGAAAAGTAAAATTCTTTGTTATACAATCCCTCCCCCCTAGTCTACTCCACTATGCAGCCTTTGTTCTGTATTCATGTCATGACAATACCTAATTATACATACCTTTTAAGCAGTTCTCTCTCACATCTGTTTCAATGCAGTATACATAATTTATCCCCTCTTTCTCCATCTCCACCGTTTTACAACAGTGGCCCTATGCAGTATTTGTCCTTACTGTGACTTTCTCCTATGTAATTTACAGCTTCTGAAAACTCAATGGAAAGGTCAGCTATGACTCAATTCCAACTCAATGGCAATGAGAGATTGATGTGTGAGATAAATGATTAATAACAGCAAGTTCTAATTCCATTATTTCTGTCTTTAAAAACTAAGATACTAGGAGATTCTGATGAAATATTGAAGAGAATCTATTACTAAGAAAATAATTGGAGTTATGAATTTGAATTCTATTAGTATGAACAAATATCTTATTGGCCTAGTGATAAGAATTGGAAGCACTCAGAAAGCTAGTAGTAATTTAAAAAAAAACCACTCTCTCAAAGGATGTTCAATAATATAACTGACAAAGTTTATTATCAAGAAACTTGTGTACTCAAGTAGCAAATTTTTAAAAACATAGTTTTGGTTTTAAAACACTAAAAGATGAGACTATTAAATGATATTAAATCAAACTGGTAAATTATCATCTTTGTGTCTTGGCTGAAGCAACTGTATAAACTGCACTTCATAAAATTCATCCCAGACTAAGAACCATCACGACCATGTTATCATTTACAGTAATCGACACTGGATTCTTTTGTGTGAAGGCATGCATTATAACCCAGAAAACACAGAATCCTATTTACATGGATTTTTATTTCTTAAAAATTTCAAGCATCCTTTAAAGTGCAAGTTACAAATACGCTGTATTCTTAAAGAAAAGGGCTTCTGAAAGAAGTCTGAGATAGCATCCCAGTACTGCCAAGAGTGGTTATATAACTAACCAGAGGAAACTGGCAGTACACTGCTGTTTTAGTGTAGTAAGATTCTTCTCTTGTAGCTTAGTTCTTAGTTATTATGCTACCAGCCAAACATGTACTCCATTGCTTTGGATACAAGACTTTCATCTTTTTTTGGTGTTTGTCTGTCAGAAATAACCTATTGGAAAAAGCACACAAAAGCCTGTTATTGTCATAGTCCATTCTAGAGCTAATAGCTATTTCTTAAAAGCCAAACAATAAAATACACTTAAATTACTGAATTACATATTTAAAGTGTAAAACGGCTTTATAACTATTCTATGCTCTTTAAAGTGACAAAATCTTATTCTTCAGGTAAGGTAAATTATATCTCCTGCTTAGATTAAGATATCAAATAAATAAAAACACAAAAAACTGTTAAGAGAGGGAGGTCTTATGAGTTAAAAAATAATAAAGGAGGGAAAAAACCAAAACCCTAGCTATAAAATGATCTCAAATTTCCAGGGTAAATCAAATGACTAAGTGTCTACTAAAGCCCAGTATTTACTTCCCATGTTTAGGTCCCAAGTTACCCTGAGTAAGTTCTGAATGCCTGGCTAATTAATTAAGCAAGGTTTAATAATATACTAAATAACACAGTATTTCTAAGTAATGAGCTCCTCGCAAACTTTTTGGAAAAAAAAAGAAATTTTCCTCTCTGAATATGTCCATGTTTTCTTTTGATTACATAAGGTGCACTCCAATCAGGTGTTCTTCACTTGTGATATTTCCAGGTTATACTGGTCCATCAACTTACTGGATTTTGTGCAATTGTGCTAGAAACATTCAAGGCTCTAACCTTCCACATATGCAAATATAACTTTAAATAAAACTAAAGTAACATACACAAAATGTTTTTTTAATAAAAAGGCTTCCCCCACACTCCCCCTGTCCCGCCCCTTACTACATATGAAATGATTACTTTTTCTATCTCTTCGAAAAATGTTCGGGATCTGGATAAGAATTGCATTGTATTTGCAGACTGCTTTAGATGTTATTATTGTTAGGTACTTTCAAATCAAAACTGATTCACAGCTGACCCTCCAGCAGGTTTTCAAACACAATAAATCACATGGGAATAGTTGTTCTCCCACAGACACTAACTGGTAAATTCAAAGTGGCTTCAAGTCGGCAGTGTAGCTCCTAACCACTAGGCTCCTAGAGCGCCTTGCTTGAGATAATACTGTTAATTTTGCAATGTCAAGTCTTCTAATCCATGAGAATGGCATGCTTTCTCTTTGGGTTCCTAATGACAAGTCTTCTAGTCCATGGGAATGACATGCTTTCTCTTTGGGTTCATAAATAAGGTTTTGATATTGGTCTAAGTATTTCTGGTTTGAGTGGCTTTGAAATGGCATTGTTATTTAACTTAATTCCTTTGTAGAGTTCTCTTTGCTACTGTAGAGGTATCTGACTTGTCTTTATATGTTGATCTTGTACCTTGTCACTTTGCCTGAAATAGTCAAATAGATCAAGTAATATTGCTAAGTCTTTGGGATTTTTCTATATATAAGATCATATAACTTTCAAAGAGATGGGAAAAGTAATCACCATCTTAACATGAAAAAGAGAGGCTATAGATAAAGTGAGGCTAAAGGAGAAAACAAAACTGGAAGCTTATATTTCCTATTATTAAAACCTAATATCCAGTCATAGTGATCAAAACAGCTTGGTACTAGTACCAAAGCTACATAAGACAATGGAAAAAAACTGCAGACCCAGAAATAAATCTGTCCACTTAGGAACAACTGATACTTGACAAAGAAATGAAATCCAAATTATATCAAATATAACTAAATGAACAATCAACAGCAGAGGATAAACTAGATGAGCTGGTCCCTTCTCAAAACGTTAAATCCTTATGTGCATCAAAAGACTACTCCCAAAGGGTTAAGAGAACCTACAGGATTGTGAAAATATATTTCACTATGGCACATATGACAAGGGACTCATCTCTAAAATTTATAGCAAATCTCAACACCTTAACAAGAAAAAGACAAACAATCCATCTATAATAGACAAAGGACACAAATAGGCTTCACCATTCAGATGACCAACAAAGACATGTACAAATGCTCAAGATTTTTAACATTCAGAGAGAGATAAATCAAACAACAATGAGATATCATCTCAACTACAAAAATTACAATGTTTAAATAAGACAGCAAACAACAAATGCTGAGAAGGTGTAGACACATCGGAACTCTAATACAATGCTGATGGGAATTAATAACAACAGAAGACTCAATGTCTTTGAACCGTTCCAGTGAAGACGTGTACTAAATATTCCATGACTGCCAAAAGAATAAACAAGTCTATCCTAGAGGTGGTGCAACCACGGTGATCCTTGAAGGCAAAGGAGGGTGAAGTTTCATCTCATGTACTTCGGGCATAGTGTCCGGAGCGGCCAGTTCTTCGAAAAAAAACATCACACTGGGAAAGGTGGAAAGTCAGAGAAAGAGAGGAAGACTCAAGAGAAGACAGACTGACACAGTAACAGTGAGATTAACTTATCAGAGATGGTAAGGATGATACAGGGGAAGGTTCAGATGTTCACAGGGTCACTATGAGTCATAGCTGACTCAATGGCACCGAAACACCATTAACACTGAAAGATATGAATTTATAAATCCAAAACATTAAAAGAACTATACACCAAAACATATCATAATTAGGCTCTCAAAAATTAAAGAAAATGGCAGAATACTGAAAACAGAAAGGGCCAAAATACCACACACAAAGGATCCTGAGATCCATGGACTACCAAAAGAACAAATTGTGTCTCTCAGAAAAAGTGCTGCCAGGATGGTTCTTGGAAGCTAGAATGACAAAGCTTTGTCTCACATACTTTGGGCACATTGCTAGATGATATTCCTTAGAGAGGGACATCATGCTTGGAAAGGTGAAGAATTAGAGACAGAGTGGATGAACCTCAGTGAAATGGATTGATACAGTGACTGCAGCAATGGGCTCAAGTGTGTCAGAGATGATGGGATGGGACAGGACAGGACAGGACAGGGTTTAGGGCTGTGGTTCACAGGGTCACTATCAGTAGTACTCAACTCGATAGCACGTAACAACAATACATCCAAAATATGAGAGATAAAGCTTCACCATCTTTACCTCCAAGGAACACTCTGGTTGCACTTTGTCTAAGATTTATGTTTTTTCCTTTTGGCAGTCCATGGGACATTCAGCACTCTAACACAACTCAAAGGTATCGATTCTTCTCTTGTCATCATTATTCTTTGTCCAGCTCTCAGATGCATACCATGTTAACTAGACAGACTGTGGTTGAAACATGCATTATAATTTTCAAACTTACATTGCTGCTCTTCTAGACTTTAGAGAGGTATTTGATAGCAGCCTTTCCCTGAACCCCTGACTGCTGGTACCAAGGATGCTGACTTATAGATACAAGCAAAATTAATTTTTTTACAATGTCAATCTTTTCTCCAGTTATCATGAGGTTGCCTATTTTCACAGAGTTGAGGATTTTTGTTTTCTTAATGTTGAGATGCAATCTATACTGAAGGCTGCAGTTCTTGAATCTCTACAGCAGGTGCTTCAGGTTATCCTCACATTAAGAAAGCAAGATAGTGTCATCTGCATAATACAGGTTGTTGTTGAGTCTTTCTCCAATCCTTAGATACCACACTTTTCTTCATAAAGTCCAGTTTCTTAATGATTTGTTCGGCATACAGATTGAATAGATAGGTAGAGAGAATACAACCCTGACATACACCTTTTTTGATTTCAAACCAGTGTTTCCTTATTCTGTTTCAACAACAGCTTGCTGTTCTAGGTGTAGAGTTCATAGAAGTGTAATTAAGTGTTCTGGAATTCCCATTCTTTTCAAAGTTAGCCATAAGTTTGTAATGATCTACAACATAGTCAAATGCCTTTACATAGTCAATAAAACACAAACTGACATTCTCTGCTTTCTGTCAAGAGTCATCTAATAGCAGCAATAATATCCCTCATGTCATAGCCTCTTCTAAATCTTTCTTGAACTTCAGAAACTTCAGATACTTCTCTGTCAATGTACTGTTCTAACCCTTTTGGATGATCTTCAACAATATTTTGCTCGCATGTAATATTAATGAGACTGTTTTAAGCATAAGATAAAACCATGCTTGCTCAAAGTGAGGACTTGAAATACTTGATGTAGTAGATCAAAGACTAGAGTTTTCTATTTTAATTGCCTCTAAAATGTCAAGAAAACAAAAATTCTCACAAAGGGGCTGATAGGCAACATCATAATAGATGGCAACTGTCAACAACTTCATTTTACTTGGGTCCACAGTCAATACCTTGATACCAGCAGTTAGTAGATCAAGAGATAGACTGAACTAGAAAAGTCTGCCATCAGATTCTCTCTACATTATTGAGCAATAATGTTATTTTGAGGACTAAGGTGCACTTGGTTCAAGCCACTGTCATTTCCAGTATTGCTGAGAGCTAGACAATGAATGAGTGAAGAAGTAGTGCTATCTTTGAACAATGGTGTTGGAGAGGAGTACTGAATATGTCATGGGTGGCCAAAATAACAGACAGATATGTCTTGGGGAAGGTGCAGCCACAGAGCTCCTTGGATGCAAAGAAAGTCAAGTTTCATTTTACATACTCTGGGCACGTTGCTAGGAAAGGCTATTTCTTGAAGAGGGCAGAATGCTAAGAAAAGTTGAAAAATGAAGAAAGAGATGATGATGACCCATAAGTAGATGGAATGACTACAGCAATGAGCTCAGGTATGTCAAAGATGATGAGGCTAGCACAAGACAGATTTCAGATCTGTTGTTTATAGGGTTGCTATGAGTCATACTTAACATGATGGCATCTAACAACAACTACCGAGACCATAAAGACAAGAAAAAGAATGAGGTCATCTAGTAAAATCTGTTACAATAACATCTCACACATTTAAAACACCCAAGAAAATCTAATCAGGGACAAAAACATTTAAACAGCTAATGAAGAAAAATGTTCTATGTACTACACTTGATCTTAGCCAAACGGCCGAGAAGCGATAAAATGTTCCATGTAAATAGAGATTAGAAGACTTAATATTGTTAACGTAACACTACTACTCAAAGCAATCTATAAACTCAAAACAATCCTGATAAAATTCTTGAAAGCCTTCTTCACAGAAATAGAAAAACCTAAATTTACATTAATAGATGAATTGATAAACAAATATGGTACGTAGACACATGCAGCAGAAAACTGGATAATAAATAAGAATGATGAAAGAAGAACCAATGCCTTGAATTCGGTTGTTGCCAGAGAATAGTAAATATATTATGGACTGCCAAAAAATAACCCAGCCAAAAAAAAAAACCCCAAAACTCTACAAACAAATCTGCCTTGAAAAGTGCAAACAGAGTGCTCTTTAGAGGCAAAGATGGTGACACTTCATTTGACACATTTTCAGAAGGGGCCAGTAGTACCTAGAAAAAGACATGCTGGGAAAGGTGGGGAGCCAGAAAAGAGAGAAACACACTCAATGAGCTGAAATGACAGAGTGACTGTAACAATGAGTTGGAGATCATGAAGTTGTGTCAGGAAAAGTCAAGATTTTGTTTACCAGGTCCCTATGAGTCATACACAAACTCGACTGCAAATAACAACAGTAAAAAAGGCCTTCCTTAAGCATTACGCTCTTTTAAGAATCATATACATAGGCTCTATCTCATTGACAACAGTAACTTCAGAGATTAGACAGTAAACTCAGGGGGCAGTGATGGAGGAGTAAGTGTTCTGATAACAAGAGAGGAAAAAGGGTGAAAATTACCACACAACCCAAATAACATTACCACTATTATAATGCTCATGTAAAAATGTGGAAGTGGTGCATAGTTTACTGTGTAAAGCAGACCAATGAGACAAGTTAAACATGCTATGCACTTCAGACTTTAAAATACTCTTAAATTCAATCCTTAAAAATACCTGATAGTCACTAGTGGAAGCTTTGTATGCTGTTGCAAGAGGTCTCATGGTAGAAATTCTAGGAGTACTTCCAGGTTGGGTTGGTGTACCTAAGGTTTTGACTGGTGATGTAAAAGCAAGAGATGGAGATGATAAGGCATTTCTGTCACCATTTTCCATCACACTCTGGAGAAACAAAGAAAAAGAACGCCACATTTATAAACATTGTACATATTATCCAGTATTTATCCTATCTACAATGAAAATTTTATTAAAAAGGGCAAACTTTGATATAGTTATCATTCAAATAATTTTAGGATTGAGAAAACATGTGTTTTCAAGCTAGCGTTTGAAATAAAACAGTCCAGTAGAGATAGTTTTTTTAGCAATCTCAAATATCCTCAGTGGAGCTATGGACAAGATGGCGGTAAGGATCTCCACATATTTTATGGAAAATCAGCAAGAAGGGAAAAGGGCATTATTGAGGGAGAAATAACTAACCAAGTCTGATGCTATTGTTGTTCTTTTGCACCGATGAGTTGAAACTGACCCTCCAGTGAGTTTTCATATGAAAGGAAGAATGCCCATCCTTCTCCCACAGAGAAGCTGGTGGATTCAAATCACATGCCTTTGAGATTGCAGCTCAGTTTATTACCATGAGGCCACAAGAGCGCCCTCACAGCTCCGATACTATTAGGTATCCAGTAATGTAAAAGACAAAAAATCGTGTCTCTGCAAAAATCTTTTACAATAATTAAACAGCTAAAGTAATTTAATATTAACAGGAAAAACTGCTTTGTTCATTAATGTGCATGTTAAAAGAGCAAAGGCCACATGGATATGATCATATCTGACCGTTACCAACTTTACATAAAGGAACTGTCCCCACCAGCAACATCAGTAACACAAAACCAATTCCCATGAGGTCAGATATATTCCCCCC